TTTATTAAAATGATAATGAGCTGATGCTTACATATTTATTAGCATTTGTGGATTTACAATAAGCCTCTTCGATAGCAATTACAACAATTAATAATCAAGACATCAAGAAAGGTAGACTAAGTTTTCTCTTTCAGTGGTAAACTGGGCATTTTAAGGGCATAGGTTATTCAGGAGGTTTAGTATCATATTTTCATAACCGCTGTGAAAGAGTGAAAGACGGCAAAAATATTAACATCCTTTAAAAACCTTTCAAATAGGACTGGATTGGTTTGCCGGGCCACTATTTCAAAGTTTTCTATGACAATTCCGGCAAGGATAGAGGAAAGCTGGTTGCCCATACATGTTGCTTTAGTTTGTTTGAAGGCATCAGATAGAAGAGGACATGACTCGTCTCCACTACGGAAAAAGTTATCAAAATATGACATATAACTTCCACAGCTGATGACAGAAGCAGCTTAACGATTAGTATGTTGCTTGAATGAATTATCTCATTGAAGAAGTTTACCAATTAATCAAGTCAACAGGAATATTAGTCAATAGGTTTAACATAGTAACTGGCAATAATACTCCCTTCAGAGGGCTTAATATTTCATGTCCTTTCAATATCAGTGTCAAGTTTGTAGTGTAAGGCGGGTTTCTTCAAGTTAAAGATTCGTTATGTTAGCGGTTAATTTTCAACCTTTTGAGAAAAAAACAGTTCATAATATCGTAAATGGGTTTAAACTCAGCATTAGGTTGATGCATTATATATAGGCAGTAAAAATAGTTCCCAAATACAGCCAAAATCTGAAGAATTGATCGATCACGCGATTATCCAAATTGTTTGTGTTGAGTATAAATAAAGTTTTATGCAATTTTGAGTATCGCCACCAACTCACGAACGAGGTCAAGCAATTAGCGACAATGACTGCTTATTGTTTGAGGTGCAGAAGTGGAGGCAGATGCGTCAGACAGTGCTTCCAACGTTCCCGATTCTGTGCCAGAGTCTGAACTTTGGAAGAAGACAACTCGAGTCTCGAACAGACTCCCATGTATTTTCACCAGGTTAATTTTGGTCGTCCCTTGGACCTTCTGACGGTCGGTCGGTTTCGCAAGAAAGAATTGCTTAGCCTTTCTTTCTGGAAGCATTTGCAACACATGCCCAAACTATCGTAGCTGTGACATCTCAATCTGAAGAAGCAGAGGCTGCATACCAAGGCTCTTCCGGATGCCTGTATTCCGGACCATTTCGAGACATGTAAAGCCAGAACTTGTCTCAGAAAGCCAATTTCAGCCGCTAGTACCAGGGATGGAAGTTTTTCAGCATGGATCACGACTCACGACCTACGTGAAACTCATGACATACATACGCACGAACGCAATACTCAAGCCAAATTAAGCTAGAAAATTTTACATCATTCTTTACACAAATTGCGAGGTTCAAGCCATATTTAGCTCGTTACCAAGGAACAATGATAAAAACAGATATGATGAAAGTTAAATCGTTGACCTCAATTCAGGGCCATACATGCAGACTACCAGGAATTATTGTTGACAGTGTTTTATTAATAGCTGACGTCTAGATACTGTAATAACATTTATATAACAGATATTGTCGCCTATTGCAAAGTTGAACTGATTTCATTTATTCTAAAAAGCAAGGCTTATCCTGGATCTGACACAAACAGTAAATTTGGAGACTTTGTATTAAGAAAGCCAATGATCAGAACTTTCCGTGATTTCTTGTACGATCAGAGAAAGAACCATAGTAAGCACCATATTTCGACTTACCATCGTGACAAGTTAACAGCTATTCATCTATAACTGAAGTCCCGCACTGCTAGGGCCTTTCATGCCTATCTCATTATAAGGGGGCAGTGGCACAGTGATAAGAGGTCGACCTTGAACTCAAGAAAAACGGGGATCCAATCATGAAAAACTCTGTAAATTTACCCTCGACAGCAAGAAATTTATCCTACGTTGTTAACGTGCAACCAGCAGTAAAACGGGTAGCAATTCGCCTATTAGGAACGCAATTCATCTGGACTTACCTCATAGCTGCTTATCTGCTGTGAAAATCAGCACGAAGTGCTAACCCACAAAAACCACGGCATATGACACATATGGTGTATATGGGATTAAGATGACTCACAAGCATAATAATAGAGTCATATTACGCTACAAACTGGTAGACATCCATGCAATCAAAAATTGTACATTTGAATCAAAAATAACGGCCAATCAAATCAAGCAGCTAGTTCAGCATAAGCAGAGTAATCTCCACTAAGACATATTGCTTGCGTAAAATCATTTTACCGCGTACTAATGAGACTGTTCTCCGTGAGATGCATGTTAACTTTTACCTTTTAGTTCTGGTTAAACGAAGAATATATTGCGAGTTTCAACCACGTTATGAAAATGTATCATTACAAACATGATTGTAAAGACGCAAAGGTTTGAAAAGCATCATTTCTGACCACAAATAACAACCTATGGCGCGGAAGGGAACAAAATGAGGGCAGGCCATCAAACAGCCAACAGCATTCAAATGGTGCTTCATGGAAGCGTCAACTCAAGGTCAATGAGCATATCGACGTTGATACGTACAACGAAAAATGACTTTTCAAAATATCTATGAAAGTTGCAAAGCTTTACACCGACCGGAAACTTCAAAAATTAACAGGGCAAACCAATAACATTTGCGACTTTAACTAAAGTCACTAAATTTTGACAGAAAAAGGATCACCTGAATTTCGATATCATTCAGTTTCGCTTAAATAAAGGATGCATAGGACTCAAAAAGCAAGTTTTTCAAAAACGCTGGAGGAAACGAAACAAAAGCTTCATATCATTGAAATTGGTTAGAATTTTATGAAAAGAAACGCGTACAATTAGCTAATACAGAAACTCCACATAGAAAAACAGTAAAAACAACGGCAATACAGCACCTAGAGAAAACTTGCAAACTGAAGTGAACATGTTAATCAATAAACTTTTATCTTGGAATACTGTGTTTATTCTGCATTTATGTATGCTTGATTTTCTCTAAGTTTAAAGGAACGGTCTTCCTTTTAACGGAATTAAATTAAATGGAATTAAATATTGCATTTAAGCAAATTGATAAAGAAGACATAATTATAACAATTTTTTGTTTCTCCATGGTTCATATATATGTTCTGTGCAACTCAACATCTATTAGTGTTCCTGCCATATCAGTGACAATATCATTTGCGATAAACATGTAGACCACATTATTTGATGTTATACTAAACTGGTCTCGGCTTCAATAAATGCCAATGTGCTTTCCTTTCATTAGGACGGGCTGCCGTATCATTCCCCCGGTCGTATATTTTGACGATGGTGTACACTGTTCTCCAGC